GCTTGATGGAGCCTTAGTTATGTAACATAGCTATGCCAATTGATTGATTATAGTTGACTATTTTTGATCGATTCAATTCATCCGGGCGGGAAGACCGATACATTATACCGGCGGGGAGACCAGACGACATTATTTTCGCGGGCGGCCAGGTCGATGAATATCAGGAATTTTGCAAGGATTCCACGGTTTGTTTAAATAGAGTCGGGTGCCATTTTAAAAAGAAAATTGGACACGAAAACAAGTTTTAAGCTCGTATTTATAGTTTAGTGTTACAATTCACTGTTTCGCTTCGGCTAATTTTTGAGAGTTTTGTCAGGCTTCTTGGTATTCTTGGAGCAATTTATAGATGTAGACTGTTTTTATGTAGGCACGAGTTAGGACGAATATCTCAGAGCGAAATTAAACAGATATTGTTGATAGGGCTTAATAATGATAAATAAATGCTTTAATTAACACATATCGTCTACTATGGAATAAATTCAAAGTTCTGCATGTGTAACGTGCTTATTGTCCTACCTTTCGTCGTGAGGTGCAGAATGTCTACGTTAGTTATTTGTCGCTTTATAGTAATTTTGTCCAGCTAATACGTTTGAACATACTTTTTTAATTTTCTCCGTGATTCTCCTTTGGCAGTTTCCATAGTTAGAAGGAGAGCCGTAGTTCCCAAAGGAAACTTTGAGACAATAATACGATCGTCTCTGTATGAAGAGAATTCGGGGAGGTTAGTTTTTATCTTGGAACTTATTTTTATCGCCAATGATGAATAGTGCAGAGTCTTGATAACCAAGTTCAGTGGATACCAAGAGCCTTGCAAACACAGGTTGAATAAGCAACGTCTTGGTTTGAGATGAATTATATCAACAGTCACGTGAAATTGTGGCCAGCATTTACATGATATACACAGTAAAGTCCGCTTTAACGAAGGGCCTTATAACGAAGCTTTTTCATGGAACCGATTCATTCATATATGCTTAGCGCCCGGTTTAACGAAGATTTATAATTAAAATCTGTATAATGATATAGCGAAGAAATTTCAAACCCGCTATAAGATAAACCATTTAGTTTAACGAAGATAGCATGATATAGGTGCATAATGAAGTTCGTATACACAGTGAAATTCACTTTAACGAAGACATTCGCTCTGAAAGTTCGCTTAAGTAAACTGTCTTTTTATGTGAAATGTATGAATCCGTTCTGGAAAGAACTTCGTTCATTGTTAAAGTGAATTTCACTGTGTAGTATAGAGATTTAAACAATACAGTACACTTCATGTAATAAAGATGTCCCATTCAGGTTACAAGTGATTGTGAGGAACAAGCCTCACCATTGTTAGGTATAGAATCATCTGTCCCGAGTTAAAGACAATATTGTTCCGGATCAAAGAAACTACCTACAAACCTTACAATTGTTATGAAGAAGGAATATGTCAGTAAACGAATAAATCCCACTTTAACAAATATCACGTGATTATAATGAATCGTTTTTGGGATCTGCATATGCAAGGCAAAAGAAACAAAGTTGCCTGAAGAAAAAAAGTTGATTGAGAAGAAGTTAGAGTGCCAGATTAATCTTGAACAAGTATATATTATTAATATGATGACCATCATTATGCTTAACTTCAATATTGGGTATGCTGAAAATATATTCCCTTTCAGACTCAACAAATTCTGGATATTAATATGACAAGAGAGAACTGATATCAAGCTTGTTTGTTACAACAAGCAGTTACAAGAAAGATTGAAAAACACGTATTGGATGAAACTCAAGTATCTTGTGAGCCACCAGAAAAGAAGATCAAAACTATTAGGAGGCCATACCAAACAAATATTGAATAATTAATAAAATTTCCAGCTATAATGTTTCTCTGCAGGTTGAGAAAAAAGGTGCCTGTTAAATAGAATAAGTATAAGGCTTGAGCTCACCAGATAATAATAAGGCAATCAGTATTGATATTGATACTACCTGGTTGCATATCAAATTTTTTTATTACCATTATAATTATAATTACAAAAATTACATAATAATAATAATACTAGTGAGATCTAACTGTTAATTCATACTCAATTAATAATTTGTTAGCAATACATATTCATATTTTAATTTATAATGGGTGGTTCCAATCTTCATGGTAATGGCATGCTTTTGGTCAACTTCATCAAGTTGCTACTACCAAAACCTCTTAATTATTAATATGCTTCTTATTATTATAGGATTGTAATTACATTAAGAAATAAATGTTGAGAATAAATATACATGTTATTTCATTATGCTTGGAATTTGATACAATGAAACCTAAATTAAAATTTTCACAATGTTTAAATGTTTTTTGAATAAGACTTTTAAGATTTACATCAATTCTTTATATTTAAAGAAATTTGTTATGTTGTGTGCTTCTATTTATCATTCAATATTCATGTAACATTTATGACAATTACAGGACGTACATGATATTGAAATATGTTTTTACTTGTTTGGAAAACGTTATTTTACATTTTAACCAAAATTTGTAGTAAGTGCACTTGTTCTGTGTCTATATCAAGTCCCATGTAACCAATAAAAGACTGCAGATAACCAGCTATATATCATGTGTTATGAAATTACACAATCTCAATAACACTGTAAAATCTCTTTCATATCTGTCCAATTGAATTTATTGTATAAAATATGATGTATCCGTGGTTTGACCAAAATTTTGTTCTATGTTCCATTCTGTTTACTAAACCTTATCACAAAACTTGCTAAGATTCATTATCTAGCATTTCTTTGTTCATAATAAATATAGCCTCAATCATAGCTGCTTGTAGAGGTGACAACTCATTAAACACCTCACTTGTCCTCATTACTGGCATAATAGCAAAGCCATATGATGGATTTAGTGAATCTGAATCAGTTTCTTTCAATAATATGTGCCTGTTATCCAATGCCTTATTAGATTGGCATTCTCCTTTTCTTTCTTCAATTGATTCTACTGTTGGTTCACCACTCAATCCTGTGTTCAACTCTTCTGTTGCCTCTCCAAAAACCTCACCACTCAATCCTGTGTTCAACTCTTCCATTGCCTCTCCAAAAACCTCACTACTTAATCCTGCGTTCAACTCTTCCTTTGCCTCTCTAAAAACCTCACCACTCAATCCTGTGTTCAACTCTTCCTTTGCCTCTCCAAAAACCTCACCACTCAATCCTGTGTTCAACTCTTCCTTTGCCTCTCCAAAAACCTTGCCACTCACTTCTTTGTTCACCTTTTTTTCACTCAATTCTTCATTAGACTCTCTTTCATTAGGCTCTCTCGACTCATCATTTAGTTCCTCATAGCCCTCTGGTGTAGAAGGTGTAACCGTGGACGTTATTGTTGACGGAGACAGTGAGCCGGAAATTTCTGGTTGCTTTCCCTTCGCCATTATATCGGAACTTGCATTCTCTAACATTGGGGCGCATGAGGTTGAAGATGTATCATAATGTTCCAAGTCATTGTGTGACTTTCCCTCATAGTCATGGGAATGCAATGGTGATGACTGATTGCGGAATAACGATTCCCTATCGAGTTTTTCTTCTAGTGAGGAGGGCGGGTGACAACTACTCAAATTCATATATGATTTCTCCTCCGATTTAAGCGAGCGCGTAAGAGACATATCAGAATTCTCGTGCAGTTTCTCTTGCGAAATTGAGGTGTTACAAGCGCCTTCTTGATGCACGGAAGAGTATGTAGAAGAATATGCACCAACCATTAATCCTGATATAATTGGCAATCCTGATATAACTGCCCCTTGTGGCTCCGATGAATACTCAGGGGATGTTGGAACACGAAGTCCAAATTCCATATATGATTTTTCTTGAGGTTGTGGCGAATATGTGGGTGAAGTTAAAACATTGACCACCGGTTCCGAAGTCGGTTTTTCTCGGAAATCAGGCGAGTACGCGGGAGATGACAAAACACCATGATATCTGCCTGCTGTATCCATCTCTTTTGATGCCTCTGGCAATGGCGACGAAGCTATCCGAATACCAAGTCCAGAATCTCTACTAGAACTACTGTTACCACTATGATAAACATGATCACCATCATCACTTCTAGCTTCTGGCGAGAACGGCGGACATCTACGCTCGTAGACATCCGCGTCCCCTCGTCTTCTAGACCTATTTCTACTTCCTCTTTCTCTATCGCGCCTTTCATTGCCGTTCTCCATTCTCCTCATGCCCTTACATTTTCTGTTAGACATAATCGGGGGTTTTATAAACCCCCCCCGAGTTGACATGTGAGAATCGGTATCTTGGAGATCCCTCTGGATTGATGAATAGGAAGGAGATTTTTGGCCAAGCGCGGGATCGCTGGTTTCCATTGTCCATAAAGCAGAGCGTGATAAATGAGAAAGCTGGTCAGGGGATAAGGATGTGTCTATGTGAGACATATCGTGCTGAACGTCTTGAATGCAATCGGTCCGTTTGTTGCGATGTCTCAATCCTCGCAAATGTCCTTTTGCATTCCTTTGTGCATCTCCATGTATTTCCCCCGATCTTTTCGAATTTATCATTCGACGCTTTCCATTAAATTTACTCGTTCGAACAGGTAACGTTCTGCCTGCCCATTGCGGTGAAGACCTAAATGTGTTGTTATGTGACATACCGGTTGTCACCCCCATAGGAGGGCTATGTAATAACTCGTTTGTAAGTGAAGTATAATTATGTTCTAGTTCTCGATCTTCTTTGCTAGGCGATGAAGACGTGATGGCGTGTTTGACAGGCGATGTCGATCTTCTTCTACGTATGTAACGCTCACTCACAATATTACCTTCTTCAGGAGAGCGTCCCCTTTTGTAACCATACCGAGATCCTTTATTATGATTTGGGTCGTGTTTGGCATGGTATCGTGCATCTCCATGCATTGAATGTCGCATGTCGATCTGGGACTCAGGTCTTGTAGAATGCTTTGTATAAGTTCGTAATTGAAATCTAGCATCAAACCGCGGATGAGTCAAACGTGCACGCGTTCTGCCATCATTTTTGTGCATGGTTCTTCCTTCCAACATTTGATGATCTCTTATTTCATTACGGACTGTGCCTTCATGTCCAAATTTAGATGTCCCACGTCCCTCCGGACGTACTTGATTTTCATTGCGCGTATCGTATCTTCGATCGGTTCGTAAATGAAATGGTGAAGGTTTATGCTTAAGTAACTCACTCAATCGACACTGTTTGACATTTATTAAGCGACCTCTGACATCGAATCCGTTTGAATCTGCTAAAAATTCTCCGAAGCTTGTATATTTAAATTTATGCCAGCCCACTGATCTTTGATATAAATGATAGTAAAGTTCTTCCAAGTCATCTGTTGTTAGCTCTGTCGATGGTGCAGCGACACAGTATACCCGTGCAAATGCTACTTCCAGTGGATAAACATATTCTGGCTTGCGATTCGTTCTGGATTCCGAATATTTACGTTCCGAGGCTGCAGTCCTATCTGATGTTATTTTAAATCTGAACTCGCTTCCTTTAAATGGCTGTCTGCTCCGACGACAAATAAAGCTTAAATTTGATTTCAAATATACAATGGCAAATTCAGATGGATATTCTGTGCTGAGGAGGTCTGCAACTGAGACTGTCTTTGATTTGGATCTTATTGGAGGCTGACGGTCGTAAGTAGCTACGTAGGCTTCTTCGAGCGTAGAAGGGCGATAATAAAACGTATTCTGAACTATAGTTAACCCAGTTAGAAGACATGTGTAAGTGCACAAGATGATAATAATAACAACGTTGTCGTTGATGATAAATAATGGTAGATTAGTAACTGCTGTGATAATTGCCATTACTGATACACCACACGTCATCAATCAAAATATTATATGATCATTTCCAAGCTGATAATAGCTATGGATTCATGCATCCGATATCTAAAATTCAGTTCATATAACACTTACACAAAGTGAGTATCTCTTCTTTAAACTTCGCCAGGCAACCTTCTTCGCTATTACTTCCATCATGTTCCGACCGCTCAATTGATGATCTCTCCCGACCTATCGATATATCCCTGCCTGTCCTCCATCCTGTCTTCTCGTTTTGCTCTAATTGTTCGGTCGGCGCTCTTCTCATATCTATCAACTTATCCTTGTTTACCCTCCATCCTATCTTTTCATCGCTTCTTACATGCTCAGGATTCAGTTCACCCATATGCCGTCTTACTACGCGCACATAATCTACGTGTTCACTGTGTTTACAGTCTTCTTTAGACTTTATAGTAAGATAATATGTTCCCATCTCTAAACCGGATGACTTTATATGTTGCAGTAAAGTACGATAAGCGGGCGTAATATCATTCAGTGTCTCGGCCAAGGGACACACCAAGTATGATGAAATAATATCGGGAGTCAATGGGGGATATAGGCTCTCATAGAGTTCACGTAACAATTCAATGCTTATTCGTGATCTGTCCGGAAGTAGAGTACGCAATCGTGTTTCCATTACTTTTATAGTTGGAGAAGTAACATCTCTTCCGAATACTTTACTGGTAAGAACGTGAGAATGAATGTCCAGTGGTTTGACAAAGGATGGAGAAGCCCGCCAACAATCCGAAGGATAGGATCTGTCATAAAGATCAGTGTAGTGAGGGAAACTTCTGCATTGAAGTAGCTTACGCAATTTATGGGGAAATTTGCTGTACAATAGCTTTTTATCGTTATCTAGCCATGGAATGTCGTAATGATACACGCTTTTAAAAATTAATGGCAGTTGATTAAGATTTAAATAGACTACATTCAGCTTATAGAATAGCCAGAGTAAACGTTCTTCGTCTGTCCATTCCACGGTTTGCTGTTGTGTGTCAGATTTTGATCCGTTGTTATGGTGAGCCGTCAGTGAAGCAGAAGATTTATAAGAGAGCATAGGGGCCGTTGGCAAGTTGTTCGCTAAGTCCATTGGAGAATTTCTATCCTGTGCGGACATTACTTGGCTATGAGTGAGCGTAGGAGGGTTTATTTGATTCGAAAAAAGTGCAATTTTCAGTTGGTACTGAGTGACACAATCAGTAGGTGATGTCATCTTACACCAAAATTCAATGAAGAGTTTAATTAATCCTTACACACATTGCGCGCTCAGAAATATAAAGAATTTACGACTAGCTTCTGAGTTAGTCATGCATTAAAAATAGCTACAACGAATAAAAAACCAACGTATAATGATGTCTGCTGCGAATTGCTCAATCTACCAAAGATACCACGAATGTATGCGCATATCCTCACTGCATATAAAGCCACAACTCTGGCTTTGCAGTATAAACAAACTACGCACGTTTGCTATTGCTTCCGTAATCCGTCTCTAACAGTCATGCTCTCTCAAAAGAGATTCAAATGGGAAGCATATTAACGACTAAATAACCAAAGTATTGGTCCTCAACTCTACTTCTAATTGTAGGTCTATGCCTTTACTATCCCATCCATATACTTGGGAAACAGGACAGTCTAGCTCCTGCGTAGAGGAAAACAATACGCACGGAACTTGCCAAAGAGACCATATCGCTCTATGCCTGGCCTTACTACAAGCACTAAGACTAAGTTGCCTGTACAGGTTTCAGACAATGGAAAATTTTCGACAGGCATTGATCACAGTTCAAAGTTAATAAGGAGATGGGCAAATCATGTGAACACAATACGAATAAGATCTTGAATGATGTTCAATGGCTTCTAAAAATAGTGCTCTCCTAACCTTTATGCAAAATAATCGAAGTATATACTTTGCTCATACTAAAAGACATTCGTGATGGGACAGTTTATTATAGCTCGCTTAGCCTCACCTCGCCCCAGAAGCCCTGATATCAATCCTATTGGAAAGCATGAATTTTAAACGTTTTATTCGGATAACATATTATATCTTGAGATTTATTGTCATTGAACAAACGCCAAAACTTCTGTAGCCCTTTATCTATAAGATCGCCCTCATAAAGAGCGACTTAGAGTGTTGCCTTATCACTCTGTCAACTGAAGTGAAATGAAAATTCTAATAACAAAGCTGCCCTTGTTAAAAATGTATCGGTTTTTCGTATGTGGCCATGGCTATAAAGTATAGGAAAAATTAAGTCCATATGTTGGAATCTGCGAAGAAGCATAAGTCTGATACATACCAGCTTCCTTGAATGCTTCGGAGAGAGTCTGAATAGTTGAAAGAGTAAAATGGTGTTAGCCTAAAAACCAAACTGCCTATTACACTCATATCACCCCGATCATCTTCCTCTCACTCACTGGATGTGCATGGCAAGTCCTAGCAATATCTTCACTACTGGCCCCATATTCCATGGCCAATACTGCTTCAGCAATCATCTCGCCTGCATTGGGTCCAATTATATGCACTCCAAGTATTCTGTCTGTCTCGGCATCAGAAATGAGCTTGACGGATCCTTCGGTATCCTCATTTGTCCGAGCGCGCGAATTAGCCATGAATGGAAAAGTACCAACACGATATGGACGACCAGACGACTTGATCTCTTCTTCTGTTTTACCACACCACGCTACTTCGGGATGAGTATAAATTACCGAAGGAATAACATCGTAATTTACCTCGCCATGTCCACCGGCAATGTACTCGGCTACGGCGATACCTGGCGTTTTGAAAGGTAGGTTATAGTTAATGAAATAACGGGTGAACTTGTATATTATCATTAAATTTTCACTTCATAAGAGACTCATTTGCCTACCTTCCTCTTCGGCTTTATGAGCCAGCATAGCACCATAAGTAGCGTCTCCGATACATCTAATGTGGGGTACGCTGGTCTTGAACTGAGAATCAATCTTTACACGGCCTTTCTCGTCCACTTCTATACCAACGTTCTCCAATCCTAAGCCGTCTGTATTCGGACGGCGACCAATGGAAACTAAGACAACATCAGCTTCCAGCTATGTTGATTCAACCGTACGGTAAGGACAAATCGATGGTATTAGAAAGCTAAGATGTACAGTAAATGAAACAGACTTAATACTAAGATGAAAGAGATTGTGGGGATGAAAAATGAAAACTCACGGTCTCTTGATCTCCGCCTTTGGCCTGTTCAACGTCGACATATATTTTGCCATCCCGTTTTGATGCGGAAATTACTTTTGTGCCCAGCTTGAATTTGAGGCCTTGCTTTGCTAATATACGTGAAAACGTCTTGCTAGAGAATGCAAAAGAATAAAAGATAAAGATATAATAGGAAAAGAATGAAAGTACACTTTATAAGACGTGTTTCGAGTAAGTCTACAGTATCTTCAACGGTTTTATTACATACGCCGTCTCTCCGTCCATTCCAGCTCCGATAGCATTTAAATATTCAACAATAGTAACATCCGCACCGAGCCGACTCCATACAGATCCAAGTTCAAGTCCAATAATACCTCCTCCAACAACCAGCATTTTATCCGGTACTTTCTCAAGCGACAGAGCACCAGTTGACGTGACTACTTGCTTCTCATCAACCTTAAGAGAGATCATGGAATTCAGAACACAGCCAAAAAGCATATATCCCATATCTCATTCACCTACTTCTAAACCCTTAAATGGAGTTGGCTCCGACCCAGTGGCGATGATAATGTTCTTTGCACGAACGAGAATGTTCTTCCCATCTAATCCGTCTACTTCGACCTCATGTAAGCCAGTAAATCTACCAAAGCCCTTGACATAAACGACTCCATTCTTCTTAAATAGTCCTTCTATCCCTCGGGTTAATCCAGTGACTGCTCTCTCCTTAGCTTTCATCATGTTGGGAAGGTTTAATTTGACTTCCGAGACTATGTAACAAAAATGATATGTTACCAAAGGTGTTATTTCCAAACACATGTTGTGCGCGAAAATGGATGCCTGTATGCGTGTACTGACTGTCGATTCCTCTTGATTTGAATTCATGTTTAGCTTGGTGATATATGTGCGAATTGTTAAGAAGAGCTTTGGATGGAATACACCCGACATTTAAACATGTTCCACCCAACGATCCACGTTTCTCTATGCATGCTACCTACGTAAGAGATAGAACGATTCATTATCGATCATAGACGCTTTGATAAGTTTAGGTAATCACCAACCTTCAAGCCTAGCTGAGCAGCCTTAATCGCAGCAACATATCCGCCAGGTCCACCGCCAACGACCGCAACGTCATATTCTTCCTCTTTGATCACAGTAAAAAATTAGCTAATAAGCCAACCGTTTGCAAACAAAACAGCATATGAAATATAATACTACCAGTTGGGGTTGCGCTGTAAAGTCTTCGACCAGCAGCCCTGAAAACGTGAGAGGAAATACGTCTAGTTGATATGATCTATCAAAGGGAGTGTATTAGCCAGCTAGTGCACAAGTTTTCTAAGTAGAAATCATTTAAATGGTACATATTACCAACATTGATAATTTACCCACCTCGACAAGAGAAGTTTTAGCAGACACAACTTTAAACATAATTCGATTTTCCTAGTAAGGGTGTGTTGCGAAGAAAAATATTAGGGTTTGTGCGTCCGTCATCGTAATCGTTCAGATCACCAATCACGTAAACAAAAATGTAGTATGATTAATAGAATGTAGGCATACTTGCACGTGATTATACTATGATTCATGCGTGGTTTTCACAAATTCTATCTGTTAACCTTATTACTTCGGTTCTTGATGAGAATGTTTCCTTTGAGAACACTTGGCTAACTCGTATTGTTATGGCGCTGAATGATGCGCAACAAAAGCAAAGTTAACATGAGGCAGACTGCTATTGCGAGGGACTTTTTATTCACAAGCAACAAAACCAGACAAAGTGAACTTCTATCATGTGACATAAATGAGAGGCTGATTGGCTGAAAGTTAACTAATTTGACTAATAGCATTTTGACCAACTTATAGTTCAACATTCAAGTCGATTAAGATAGACTTTACTTGAACTACAATATGTTTAATATGGGATTATCTTATATAAAAATATTAATATGAAACTAATTACATTAAATCTACTACGGAACCAAAGAATTACAGCACTACTAGAAACATTCTAAAGAAAGCTCAAGGAGAAAAAATTGCTCCATATGTTTTTAAAATCAATAATACCCAAACTCTCCAGGAATATTTAGATAAAGAAAAAATTACTTATGAAATTTACCAAGAAGAACGAAAAATAAAAACCAATAAACGAACATTAACCTCAAACGAAAACTTTAAAGGAAAGCAATTTAATGTAAAAACTTCCCACCACTGATCGAGCGATCTATCAACGAAAGATCGTTCGTTATAGTCTTGATAAAAGACTGTTTAATGCATTCGTTGAGTTTTGATTCTCATTTTGCTTTTTTATTTTTTATTTTGGACATAATTTGGGGGTTAGTGTTAGATATCGGTAGTGTCACAAACATAAGGCCTCATATGAAAATCCATATACGAAGTTTTTTTCTGTCGATCATTTGCCGATCACTTTTCGATAGTGGAAACACAAACATCAAACCTCGATAACTTTTTGAACGAAATCCAAGCTATGCTATTGAAAAGTTGCTCAAAAATAGGTTTACATATGCAAACCCTTATTTTGTCAAGGAAAACGAAAAAAGGTCTCTATTTTCTTGTAGAGCAGGCGTTGTACTGTATTAGTATCAATTTTTTCAACCTGGTCCATATTTTTGTTACATACAAAATATTTACTGAGATTTTTATTAGGAATACTAGGCACAAAGATATTGCTAGAATTTTTTCGTTGTTTCCACCAACTACGGGTTTTGATATAACCTCCGATTTCTGACAATCAAGCTCACTAATTTTCAAAACCAATTCGTTCTTTAAATTCGTCAATTCAGACTTGAGAGACGTGATCTCAGATTCTTTTTTTAATATCTCTTCCTGGGTTGAAACTGTGTCATTCTGAGCCGATGTTAATCTATCTACCTTCTAATATTTTTTTCATAGACCGAAGTGTTGTAATTTCCTCGGATTTTATATCAATCTCAGATTTAAAATTAGCAAGAGAAATAGCTTTGCTAGCATTTTCAAACTGCAGGTTTTGATTCTCGGTAACAATCCCTTCTAGTTTTTTACTCCACTTCTTTCTATCCTGATCCCATTGTTCTCTCCCGATTAAATTTTTTTTCTTGTTTTTCATACTTATCCCGCAATTTAGCATTATATGAGACTATCTTGGAGGGCGTTATATAATTCTTAAGGTCTATCACATTGGCCATATTAAATAAAAAAAATATATTATAAAAAACAGCAAAATATGGGACATACACTACCTGGACAAAAGTCTTGCACATCGAAAAATTTTAATTGTACAAAATTACACATAATAATTATATTTC